AAATGATAGCAAAACAGCACGTGCGCATACACACACACACACACACACACTCACACACTCACACTCACACACACACACTCACTCTCTACCCCATAAACCTGTAATGCAGAGACCTGAAGAAGAAACATCTGTTGACAAAGAAAATTTGGGAAGATGGCTGGAGATGTAGCTCAGTTCATAGAGTGCTTGCCTGGCATGCATGAAGCCTTGAGTTCTACCCATTGCACTCCATAAACCAGGCATGGTGGCACACACCTATGTAGCACTTAGGAGATGGAAGCATGAGGATAAGAAAAAAGATCAAGGTTATTCTTGGGCTACATAGAGAGTTTGAGACCACCTGGGTTACATATGACCTAGAAGAAGAAGAAAAAGAAGGGAGGAAAGGAAGAAAGAAAGAAGGAAGGAAGGGAGAAAAGATTAAAATACTTTGAATAATAGAAGACCTAAAGAGTCCATAGAGAAGTATTGGGGGTTAGTGAATCATTCACCCTAGAACCCAGTGGTCAAGGGTAGAGACAAGGGTACACAGGGCTGGGATGGGAGTCTGTATACAAGGTGGTTAAATTCCCATGTTCCCTTCCTGCTCCCAGCCACTAGTAGCAGAGCTCCTTTACCTGCAGACCAGAGATTTAATCTGAAGCTGTGCTGGAGCTCAGATCTTGAAAGCTCCAGGGGGTAAAACTCCACAGAGGAATTTGGTGGACACTGGCTCAGCACACTCTGGTTCCCAGCCCCCCTTCCTAACTGGTGAGGAGGCTAACCACCTGTTAGATACCTCTCCTCTCCACCCAGTGACTGAAAATTAGGAATGCCTCTGTAGAAACAGTGGCTCTGAGTGCTGTCCATGGCCCATCTCTCCACTGCCTTGTAGTACAGACTTATGATTGCAGACACTAGACACGAGCTACCTGCACCCACAGCTTTCAGCATTAGGTAGAGCTCTACTCATAGACTGGCTTAAAAAAATGTGTGTTCGTGTGTGTGTGTGTGTGTGTGTGTGCACACCACACATGTATACTGGAGGCTAGGAAAGGACATTGGATCCCCTGGAACTGGAGTTATGTGTGTTTGTAAGTCATCCGATGTGGTTGCTGCGAACCAAATTCAGATCCTCTGCAGGAGCAGTATGTGCTCTTAACTGCTGAGCTATCTCTCCAGTCCCTGAACTGGCTTTTAAAACTTACCAGAAGCCAGGCATGGTGACACACACCTATAATATCAGCACTTAGGAGGCCAAGACAGGAGGATTGTGAGTTTGCAACCAGCCTGGGCTACAAAGAAAGACCCTGTCCAAAATACAAATAACATTACCATAAGTTCGATGAAAGCATTTAACAGAGGGATACTAAATAATATAATTAGTAGATGATGCTATGAGGAGCTGAAATAGAACATTCTACAATTGTTCAGAGAAAAGAAGACAGTCTTCATAAAGCAGGACTAGGAAGGTGATTTCTAGAAAGAGTTAAACACTAAAGCACTCTTAGAAATAAAAGAAATGTATATATGATATTAAAACCATCAGACATGGTGGCACATAACTATAAACCAGGGGCTTGAGGCAGGAAGATCATGAGTTTGAGGCCATCCTGAGCTGCATAGTAAGATCTTGTCTCAAAAAAAAAAAAAAAAAAAGCTTATATAATAGTATAATAGGAGAGTTGGGATGTAAAGTTGAAGATATTTGTCAGGTGTAGAACTTAAAGACATAGTGGAAAATTAGAGAAAAGATAGATAATGAATTCAGGTTGCATAAAACCTTCATCTGAGCTCCAGAAGGAATAGAGTGTCTTTGTTACTTTCTATTGCTGTGATAGAAACACTGACCAAAACCAACTCGGGGAGGATAGGATTTATTTTGCCTTCAGCTTACAGTTCATCATGGAGGGAAACCAGGGCAGGAGCTCAGGGCAGAAATCAAAGTATAGACCATGGAGGAGCACCACTTACTGGCTCACTCCTCTGGCCTGTGCTCAGCCTGCTTCTTATACACAGGACCATCTGCCCAGAGTGAAACTGCCCACAGTGGACTGGGGCCTCTCACATCATTCAAAAATCAAGAAAATGTCCCATAAACATAGCCACAGATCAATTCAATGGAAGTAAGTCCTCAACTGAGGTTCCCTCTCCCCAGATATGTCAAGTAAACAAGTGAAGCTAGCCAGCCCAAAGAGATGAGTAAAAGAAGCATTTTCCAGATCCAACAAACCTAATTTTCCACATGGCTTGAAGCCACTAAGTGTCCCATAAAATAATGGAAGGGATACTTCCAGTGAGACAGACCAGTATTCCATTTTACAATGTAGGGATCAAGAGATACCTTCTGAAAATAAGCTTTGAAAAAAAGGGGAAAGTCTAGAGCTAGGGAGATGACTCAATCAGTAAAATGCTTGCTGCTCAACCATGAGAACCTGAGTTCAAATCCCCAGGAGCTGCTGCAGGTGACTGTGATCCCAGTGCTGGGGAGGTAGAGTCTGTCAGATGCATCCCTGGGTCTTGCTGGTCAGCCAGTCTAGATGAACTGGCAAGCTCCAACGTGTGTGAGAACCTATCTCAAAAAACAAAGTAGAGAACAATAGAGAAATATACTCATCATCGACCTCTGGCCACCACAGAAACATGTACACAAATATACACTACTACATTCCCCCCCAACACACACTCCCCAAAAGTAGGAGGGGAGTCACATACCAAAATAAAATATAGCCATTGGCTTCTCAATAGCAAAAGTGGATGTTAAAGACAGTGGAGCAACATCTTAAACATTCTGAGAAAGAGAGTTTGGAATACCATACTCTCCCCAGCAAAATAGCAAACAAATCCTGAGGTATAAGTAGTTTCAGGGTTAGCACGATGGTTCATTTGGTGAAGGCACTTATTGCCAGGCCTGATGACCTGTGTTTGATCCCTGGAACCCACCTGGTGTAGGGGGAGAACTGACTCCCACAAATTGTCTCCTGACGTGAGACATGGCAAGCTCTTATTCCTGACTCCCCTTCCCCCACAAGCACACAATATATAATTTCTTAAATCTTTTAAAGTAATTTCAGGTGCTGGAGAGATGACTCCGCAGTTAAGAGCACTGGCTACTCTTACAGAAGACGCCAGTTTGGTTCCCAGCACCCACATAGCAGCTAACAGTTGTTCTTAACTCCAGTTCCAGGGACTCCAACGCCCCCATCTGGCCTCCATGGGCATTACATGCATGTGGTGCACTTACATACATGCAGGCAAAGCACTCTTACACATAAAATAATTTTTTTTTTAAATTTAAGTACTGTCAGACACACAGGAGCACAGATATACCTCTCACACATCATTCTTATATCATTTTTGAAGAATGATCTCCGGCAAAAAGGAAGAAAGTAGGCAATAGATTTCCAGCTAATGAAAACTCAGCACAGGCAGCCAGAGAGGGACATGCAAAGACAACAGCCTGTAGATGAGGTGGCAGTCAGGTGAGACTGAGCAAGAGGACAGAGAGTCCTTGGAAGAGATTTCAGGAGGAAAAAAATGAGATGGAAGATCATTTGTATAGTTAAGAAATAATATCACTAGGCCTGTGCTAAATGTGACACCACATAGTAAAGGATTTAAGGTAGATATATAAAACAATAACAAGGGGGAAAGAGTGACAGTCATTAATCCCAGGAAAAACAAAAAGGCTTTACCAAGAAAGGAAACATAATCTTTAATGCATTGTGTAGTCACCAATATTTACAGAGTCACAGTAAATACTCTTGGTTTACTAGAAAGTTGTTAATTATACAGGAAGGATGAGGGAATGTGATTGAGAATTAGGTCCGCCTGTACTGTATAGAAAGCTAGAGCCTCCTGAACTATATAATAATAAGCTAGAAGCTACTATCCAAAAGGGAAAATGTGATAATATTCAAAATGATGGTAATAGATAGGAGAGCAACAGCATGACTGGAGCATTCTTGGGAGTAAGAGAAAGAGGGAAAAGGTTGAGGCATATGCTTTTTCACTGTAACCTTCATCATTGTTGGATCACTGAAAATCCCCTTGTATTCTCTATGCCCAGTACTAATAGAAAGTCTTTAAAATTTTTCTGAAAGGTTTGTGTGCAAAGCATCTGTCCCTCTGAATGTTGGGTAGTTTTTCATCCTTATCTGGTCATCTACAAACAGTATATGCATAGTGAGAGGGTTAGAGAGACCTGAGCAGTGCATTTGGAATGATTAATATAGGGCAGCACATTGGTCCTAGATGGAGCAGATGTCCACATTCATCTTATGTTTGTATGCTCTTGGTCATGAGGCCAGCACCCCTGATAGTGGTTTGTTGTCTGTACTTCAAGTTTAGGCAAAGATTGCCTGGAAGTTTCTATTACTTCATAGCCAAAACATTGCCCTTAATTATAAATTAAGTTGAAGTAGTCCACTTGTGAAGACTGTTTCTTAATGCTAGAATGACAACAATTAACAAGCTACTTACACCCAAGAGAGCGGCTTGGCTTCTGTGCCCACAGTCCCTGTGAGGCATGGTAGGGATGTGACTGTCTGCTGCTTGCTCTGTTTATAGCAGGTTCTTAGCAGCCCTTGGGCACCTGAGAACTGTGGGGGTTATATCTACCTTGCCACCTGTTCCAAGAGGTCATTGGTATTTCTACATCTTGATTTGTGGGCTAAGGATTTGTCTCAGTTGGTAGGGTGCTTACCTAGACTGCATGAAACCCTGTTTGATACCCCAAACTACAGAAAACCATGTGTGATGGCACATACCTGTAATCCCAGCACACTAGAGGTAGAAGCAGGAGGACTGGAAGTTTAAGGTCATCCTTGGCTACATAGTGAGTTTGAGGCTAACCTGGATTACATGAGACCCTATCTCAAAAAAAAAAAAAAATTTTAACTGGGCTTTGTACTGTCTATACTATAGAGAGTATATAGGAATCTTGTGCCTCACAGCAACAGGATCTAGATACTCCTCCACCTATTGATTATTAATTTGTTTGTTTTGTGTTTGTTTGCCAGAATGTTATGGAACAGTTCAATCCTGGACTACGAAACTTAATAAACCTTGGAAAAAATTATGAAAAAGCTGTCACTGGTAAGTCTATTTTTCTAAATTGTTTAATATAAAGCACACATGAAAGCTGTTCAGTCAATATTTTATGTATTTTAAAATATGTAACACTGAATTTTTAAGATGTCTTTAAATAAAAACAATTGTATAATTTGTAGACCTTTGCAGTGATAGTGCAGAATGATATTAATGTTTTTGAAATGAATGAATCATAATCATGAAGCCACTGTATGGGATGTATTTTAACTTTCAAATATGCATTTTGACATACAAATTGGGCTTTTATGTTATTGCCATGAACTTTTCTTTTTAAATCAAGTTCTTTGTGAACTAATAAAATATATAAGATGTGTACTTAAAACATTTGAGGAGCTGGAGAGATGTCGCCGTGGTTAAGAGCACTGGCTGCTCTTACAGAAGACCTAAATTCAGTTCCCAGCACCCACATAGTGGCTAACAAACCATCTGTAACTCCAGTTCTAGAGAATCTGACACCCTCTTCTGACCTCCACAGGCATTGCACAACACAGATGCACTTAAATACATGCTAACAACTGTCCATAACTCCAGTTTTAGGGGATCCAACACTCTCCTCTGTCCTCCACAGGGACTGTATGATACAAATGTACTTACACATGCAGACATAACACTCATACACAAATAAAAATAAATAAAAGTAAAATAATAAATTTTAAAAAATTGTTTAAGTTTGAACATGGCTAGGTATGGTGATGCAGGCTTTTAATCCCAGAACTTGTGAAGCAGAGGCTGGTGGGTCTTTGTGAGTTCCAGGCACGCCTGATAGTAAGATCTTGTTTCAAAACAATAGCAACAAAAAATATTGACTATTAGTGTCCTGCCACCCAAAAATCATTCTTTTAGCTTTATAGAAGAATTTCTTGCCTTTGGATCTACCACTTTTTTGTGTGTTTTGGTTTTTTTTTTTGAGATAGTCTCATTCTGAAACCCAGACTAGCTAGCCTTGGACTCAGGCAGTCCTCCTCAGCCTCCCAAATGCTGGGATTAAAGGTGTGCCAGTACTACACCTTGTTGACATGTCACTTTTGATAGTAACGCAAGAAATAATATTTTTAGCCTTAATGGAAAGACATCTAAATTAAAGATTGGGCTTAGAGTCTCATTTCAAAGTAAGTGCTTCATTGAAACTGAATTTGAAGACAGATCTGGTGACACAAGTCTATAATCCCAGATACTTGGGAGGCTGAGGCAAGAGGATTGCAAGTTCTGGGCTAGCCTGGGCAACTTAGCAAGTGCTTATCTCAAAGAAAAGGAGAGAGGGAGAAGGAGAGGGGGGAGAGATAAAGGGAGGGAGAGGAGAAGGGGAGGGGAGCACTAGGAGTATAATTTAGTGGAAGAGTACTTGCCTAACATGTGTAGGGCCCTAATTTCAATCCCTAACGAAAAAATAACTTCAAGCACTGACATTTGCCTCTCTTCGTGAACCCAAGTTGTGAGCCTGCTTGAGAAGGTTTTCATTGACCAAGTTGGTACACAGCTGCTCCTGTGCTTCCCTACTGAAAGGGAATGCTGTTAGAGAACTTCAATAATCACCTTAGAAAATGGCCCAGGAAAAGAGGGCACTGGCTGGGTCCTAGGCTGTGGGTGACAAGGAACATGGTAGTTAGTTGCAATCACTGGAAAATTAACCTTCTACCGCTCTCTGCATTTTTGCCCACAACTTTCAGTGTCTAGAAATACAGCATATGTAGGACCTTGCTTCTCCCCTCAGCAGCATCTGTGCCTTCTGTAGGCCCCTTCCCTCCTCTGAGAGCAAAGCTTAACATTGCAGCTCTCTTCTGGTGATAGCTCAGTCAGGCCACAGAGTCACTGCTATCTCCATTCCTGGTAAGGAAATCACTGTGACCTGTAGAATATTTTTTCCTCTGTATAGCTCTGAGATAGCTACAAGCTGAGTTATTGAGCCGCTTGCCTTAGCCTCCTGTTAATAAGGCTTCTTGAGAACCCCAAGGTCTCTTTGTCACTTCAACACCTCCTGGAGATGACTCTGTACTTCATGAGTATTCCCAGAACTCCTGCAGACCATCTGATTATAGTTTTTCCAAAGTCACTGAGAATTTTAGATTCATTTATAAAACCCTTTGTAATCAACAGATTACAAAGGTGGAGTGATATGTGACTGGCTAAGGATGCTATGTGATGCTATGTGGACCAGAGCAGGCAGGAGGCCTTGCAGGAGCTGAGCTAGGTAACAGGCGTGGATATCAGCATATAGACACTGCTTCAAGCAGAAAAGATAGCATGTAAGCTGAGGCCTGGGAGCCGCACTGGCGTGGGGGAGATGCCTTGACCAAGTGGGACTGCACATTATCAGCTTAGATATGTACTGTGGTGGAGCATCAGGCACCTACTGTTGTGCAATAAACTGAAGCTTCCCACAAACTTAGTATCTTGAGATACCAGTTTCTATTTCCCCTGTAAAGGCAGGGTAGCTCTCTGGACTCCCAGGGCTCATGCTGCTGTAGGGCTCATGCCCCTGAGGGCTAGACACACAGTCTCCCCAGGGAGCCCCCCCAATCAGGACCACACTGGGCCCTCAGTATAGCAGCACCAGCCCTGATGTCTAGTCCTTACCAGGCTCCTGTGCAAGTCATCCCTGCTGGTACCACACTGGCCAAAGCAAGTCCCATGGCCAGTGTCCCAGGGAACCAAAGACTAGAATCTGGAGGAATGCAGTCCCTCGACACCATTACTGAAAAAAAATCTGTCATGAGCCTTTTGAATGTGGGCTGGTGAGAGGCCAGTAAAGGCTCTGAGAAGAACAAAAACCCAATCAAATTTTTATGGAAAAATTAGTCGTGGTATGTATGTAGATTACCTTAAATTGATGGGGTGGCTTACCAGCTGCTAAAATAGAACTCATATGCTTCCTTAAACAGAAAGAAGCAGAAACTCTCCTGGTGCACAAAGTGGGGGCAAAGTTACAGAAATACTATTTTATTCTTTATTAGTTCTGGATAGGTTACATAATTTTAAGTTAATTTAGCTTAATCATAAAAGCAAAGATATTTTGCAAGACTGAAAAGGTTACATGGTTTTAAATTTGAGTCAACAGTTAATGAAAAATCTTAATGTGTAGATGCAAACCAGAAATTTGAACCGTTGTGTAATCCTGAGAGCCACTCTCCCACTAATTTTGCGCTTCATCTTATCAGTGCTTTACAATTTAAGCTCTTCATTCAAACATGCATCTATTAACTTGACAGTTCACTGGCTTGGCTACACACCTTATTTTTAGGTGGAGTTACTTTTTTTTCAGTTCTAGATGAAGTACCATGATTTAGAGCTGAGGCAGGGAAGTACCTCAGCAGGAACTGTATACACTGGGCTGACTCACACTGATCTTGGGGTCAGCCTAAGTATCCCCTTAGCAAAAGTCGTTGGTAACATTACCCACCTCTGTCTTAACATTGTCAGGTAGATTAGCTAAGTAATGACTTGAAAAGTCTAGCTTTCATTGTTAATTACATTTTAGGTTACCTTTCAATTTATAAAATAATATTAGAGGAGAGCATTGCATTTCCTAACTTCTATGCAGATATAGTAAAAAGCCTTTATTTGTAATTTTTAAAACTGCAATAAATGGTAAAATAAAATTGCCATAAAATACAGTGCTTTTGGCCTACAATACCTTCAGCAGCACTTGTACATAATGAATTCTGTGTCCTTTTCTGACCATTTTTTATGCTTTCCCTTAAAATCCACCTTTTAGAGCTAGGGATGTAACTTAGTGGTAAAGTTACATGTGAGAATTAAAAGTACAAATAGGGGCTGGGAAGATGGCTCAGTTAGTAAAGTGCTTGTCTTACAAGTATAAGGACCTGAGTTTGATCACTAATATCTCCATAAAAGTGCCAGGGTGTAGTGTCGCACACTTGTAATCCCAGTGCTGGGGAGGCAAAGGCAGGCAGATCCTTACTGGCCAATAGTCTAGCATAATTGGTGATCTTGAGGCAAATGAGAGAGAGATCCTGTCTCAAAAGAAGTGGATGGCTTTCCTGCGGATGACCCCCTGAGGTTATCTTCTGTTCTTTACATACACACGTGTGTACACATAACATTAATTAATTAATTAAAGATCCACTTTTGAGCAGGGCCTGGTGGCATAGGTTCATAATCCCAACTAATTGAGAAGTTGAAGTAGGAGGATTACATGGGCAAGGTCAGCCTGAACAACTCAGCAAGACCCTCTCTCAAAAATGAAAAAGTAAAAGGGACTGAGGATGTAACTTTGTAGTAGAGCAAGTGCTTAGCATGCACAAGGCCCTATGTCCAAAACCTAGTACTAGGGGTACTTTTAAGAACAAATTCATAATGAGTTCTGGGCCAGATGAGACTCTGTCTCAAAACAAATAAACAAAAAGAACTATTGGAACAACACAGCTGGTACAGCCTCTGGCTGGCTATCTTGATGGTGATAAGAAGAGGGGGGTCAGGAGTCCTTTTAGTTCCTGAGCTCTAGAAAAGACTGATTTCTGTGTATGAAGGCAGTCTCTGAGGGGAAAAAAGTCCTCCTCAAATGACAGTAGCCAGACTGGATCTTGTTGAAATGTTTGCCTGTACGTACACCATTCTCCCCAGGCTGAGTTGCCTGTAACATGGAAAAAGCCCCACTGCCATTTGTCCAGCCCTCCCTGACATTAATAGGGAACTTTACAGATGAGCAGCTTTCATTTCCACAGGGATATGTATCTTATCCAAAACACCTTTGGAATCAATTGAAGGAGAAACATAATTTTAAAATTAGAACCCAGTTTGTATTGCAATAAAAAACTTTCTTGATTCTGTTAAAAGTGGGGGAAAAAAGAGAATGTTCAGTTAGTTTTTAGGTGTCATTTTTTGTTTTAGAATGCTCATATTTTTCCTAAATTTTTTTTTTTTTTTTTTTTTTTTTTGTCTTTTTAAGACAGGGTCTCCCTGTAGCCCAGCTAGCCTGGAACTCACTGTGTAGACCATGCTGGCCTTGAACTCACAAAGATCCACCTCTGCCTCCCAAGTGCTGGGATTAAAGGCATGCACCACCATGCCTGGCTTCATAGATTATTATTTTTTTAATACTGGTAATAAATATGTTGGTTGGTGTAACTCAGAATGTCTTTGAAGTACTAGGGATTGAAATAGTGCATGCTAGGCAAAAGCTCTGCATTGAAGCAAGCCCCTGTTTCCTCACCGGGGAATTCTAGGCATGTGCTCTACCACTGAACCATTCCCTTAGTACCTCACTAAAGGATTCTAGGCAGGTGCGCTACCACTGAGCCACACCTCTTCACTGGAGGATTCTAGGCAGATGTTCTACCACTGAACCACATCCCCAGCCCCTCACTGGGGGATTCAAGGCAAGTACTCTACCATTGAGCTATGCCCCCCATCCCCTGACTAGGGAATTCTAGGCAGGTGTTCTACCACTGGCCACATACCCAGATCCTCACTGAGGATTGTAGGTAGGTACTCTACCATACCACTGAGCTGCATCCCCAGCTCTTCACCGAGGTATTCTAGGCAAGCACTCTTTAGGTCTTAAGCCCTTTTATTATTTTTTTAAATATTTTATTTTTTTATGTGTATGAGTATATTATTAGTTTTTATTTTGAGATAGGATCTCACCAAGTTCCTCAGGCTAGCCTTAAACTTACTCTGTAGCCCAGGCAGGCTTTGAATTCATAATCCTCCAGCACTAGCCTAATGAGTAGCTAGGATTACAGACCTATACCACCAGGCCTGGCTATGTTTTTAATAGAAAAAGGAAATTTGCCTTCATAAAACAAGCTCAGCAGGGCGTGGTGACGCAGGACTGTCAGCACTTGGGAGGCAGAGGCAGGTGGATCTATATGAATTCAAGGCCATCCTGGTCTACATAGTGAGTCCCGGGTCAGCTGGGGCTACAGGGAGACCCCGTTTCAAAAAGACCAAAAAAAAACAGGCTCCTAGTTTACTACACGAAAAGACCCCTAAGTAATAGCATGGCTGATCTGTACTGCTGATGTGTACCCAGTGCCAGTATGACATCAGGAACACATGTGCCCAGGAACTTGTATCAGGAGCAGGCAGGGTGTTGTGGACTTCAGCACCTGCTACACCAGTCTGGTCCCAAATCTTAGAGCCAGAAGGGTCTCAGGAATGCTGGTAAGAAAACCTGTGTCACTTCTTCCTTTCCTTTTTTGAGTAACAATTTTGTGTGTTACATTCCTGTTTAGCTATGATCCTGGCAGGAAAAGCCTACTACGATGGAGTGGCCAAGATTGGAGAGATTGCCACTGGGTCCCCTGTGTCAATGGAGCTGGGTGAGCTGACCATCCATTTTTCATAAAAAACCTAACTTACCATCCTGGGCACCTGATAAGTGTGTGTCAGGTGTCCCAAATTGAGAACACAAAGGAAAGCTGACCAGGCCCTGTAGTTTGGGCCTATGGAAAGAGGTTTCTTGAGAGCAGATCAGGCCTGTGATCTGGGTGCTAAGTTGTTGGGGTCCTTCACCCTGCCTGGTAGGAGTTCCACTCCTGTCTCTGCTGCTTGGATTCTGATCTGTCAACCTGGGTCCCTGAAATTCCAGCCTGGAAAGCTGTGACCTACATTCTGAACCAAAGAGGTGGGTGAGCTAGGCCTGGACAGACAGCCAAATGCTTCCTGTGACTCACCTTGTGGAAAAGGACTCCGTGACTCCTTTAACTCTTTTTCGTTGCACTCTAGGCTCCTTCCACTTCCACAGTGGCCTTTGGTTGTGATTTTTTGGGTTTTGCTGGTATGAATGGATCCCCTGTGCGGGCACAGAGGGCAACCACACCCTAGGCAGCCCCCACCCCAGCCTAGGGAAGCTGGGCTTCTATTTACAAAGCCCCAGCACTGCAACCATCTCCTGGGGGGCGGAGGTGGGGGGCAGGGTCACTTCGCAAATAGACCCACAGGTCACCTTTATCTTTAAAACTTGTTGAATGTGTTTTATTGTGTAAAGGGTAAGATTTCTGCATTAAGAGTATTTGTCATAATTTGAAGGATTCTGAATAACAGATAGCAAGGGTGGATGTGAGTTTAAAGTGTCTGTCCTGTGTGTCCATCTCTACTTAAAGTCAAGTAATCTTGAGGGTTCTCAAGATTGCCTGGGAAACTCACTGATCCATCAAAGGCCAAGAACAAACAGAAGGCTTGATGCTGGTGGCAGGGTGCTCCTAGGCACAAGGTCAATCTGGGTTCATGTTCTCCTGCTGCTTCATGCTTAAAGAGTTTATGAGGCTGTAGACAAAAGGCACTGCGTGAAATGTCTTCAGTGATTTTATATGAAGAACAGCAACCTGCCATATTTAATAGAATTGATGGTTTTGGTAAGCTTTCGAAATCCCGACCCCTGTGCTGTGGTGCTGTGACCTCCCAGGTCCTGGTGGAGACGACCTATAGCTACTCTTAAGCACCATCAGGTTTAGAAACACATAGGCTGCCTTATGTAGCAGATAGCAACATTTAGGACATTTGGGGCGAGTAGCTAATGATAGGGTTCCAAAAATAGGACTAAATTAAGAAGAAACATCCTATTTGTGTCAGGCATCAGGGAAAAGTATGACCTTTATATTAAAACATATGGCACTCTGACTCACCACCATTCAGCCTGCCTTTTGAATGTTTTATGAGTTTTGCTGCTGTTTAAATAAGACTTCTGTTCCACACCTTACTTTATTCAGCCGCGACTTCATAACATTGAATCAACTATTTCCATAGCAACAGTGTTGTTATAAACACCTCCTTGAAACTCCAGTTTCTGTAGTGAAAGTGTGTTTTGAAGGTGAAGGCTCCTTCATACCCGTGTATACTTTATGAACAGGGAACATAAGTAAAGTTTTAAAGTTTAAGTTTTATTGCTTCAAGTTGCCCATTTGCTTATGTCCACTGTCTCATAATTACTACTTTTTTACCCATTTACAGCTTTTCTTGATAAAAGCCTACCTCAATAATCCTTGTTTTGAAAAACCTAATAATTTCTTTTGACTTGCATAGTTTTTCTTCTGTTGGTAATATGTAAAATACCATACTGTATCTGCTTAAATTTCTAAAACAGAAGAGTAGTAAATAATTCATATATTTAAAAAAAAAAAAGTCGGGTGTGTTGGCTCACATCTTTAATCCCAGCACTAAAGAGGCAGATACAAGCGGATCTCTGAATTTGAGACTACTTGGTCTACATAGTGAGATCCATAACAGCCAGGGCTATATAGTGAAACCCTGTCTCACAAAACAAAACAAATAGGGAGGGAGAGAGGGAGGGAGGGAGGGCGGGCAGGCTGGGGAGATGGCTTCATGAATAAAGTACTTGCCACACAAACTTGAGGACCTTAGTTTGAATCCCCATCCTTGGTATAGAAGTAGGACATGGCAGCATGTGCCTGCAATCCCAGAGCTAGGGAGGCAGAGAAAGGAGGATCCCTGGGCCTTGGTGACCCAGTAGTCTCCCCAAATAGGTGAATTTCAAGTGGTGAATTTCAAGTTCAGTGAGAGATCCCCATCACAAAAAATAAGATGGAATACAGATTAAGGAAGACACCTGACATCAACCTCTGGCCTCCACAGCATGTGTACATCTTCACAGGTACCCACATAACCCTCCCTACAAAAAGAAGAATGAATGACAAAAGGTAGATTGTGTTTTTCTCATTTTTTAGTATCTTAGTGTGGTTATTGGCTTTTGGTACTGGTATTCATAACTTTATGAAACTTGTTTTATAAATTTCACATAAGACTGATAAGAACCTGTGCCTGGTGTCATATGCCTATAATCCCAGCACCTTGGAAGCTGAGGCAGGAGGATCATTAGTGTGAGGTCAGCCTGGGCTGCATAGTGAGGTCCTGTCTCAAGAAAAAAATAAAGGACTGGGCCTGGCAACATGGCTCAGCAGACAAAGGTGCTTATGGCCAAGTCTGACAACCTGAGTTCCATCCCCAGGACCCACTGGGTAGAATGAGAGAACCAACTCTTGCAGGTTGTCCTCTGACCTCCACGTTTGCCATAGTGCATGCACGTGCACACACACATAAATAAATAAAAATAATTTTTTTAATTTTTAATGTTCTTAATGAAAGACCGGAATGCAGCTCAGTGCTAGAGCACTTGCCTGAGTTCCATCCACAGCATTGCACACAGACTGCAGTACAGCTGAATATGAGAAGACCGTGAATCATTTCAAAGTTTTTATCAGCATGTCTTTTAGTAAAGATGGAGTGGCTGACTTCTAAGCTATATGTGGCTTCATTTAGACAATCCCACTTGGCATCAACTCATCCATTGCTATGTGAATAATTTAGTGTGCATTTGCTCAAAAGTAACAAAATGTCCAACTGACAGTGATTTAAGCAGTAGGCATGCTTATTATTCCACAGGGCTAGAACCAGCAAATTCCTAGTTAGTTAATCATCTCAAAGGACTGGGATTCCATCTCTTCCCTCCCATCTTCATGTCCATTTCTTCATGGTACCAAGATGACTGCCCTCTGGCTACCACACCTGTCTTCTCCTGGTCTCTAAAAGCAGAAAGTAGACTTTCTTCTTTGGTGTTTATTTATTTATTTATTATTTATATTTTGTGTGTATGAGTATACTGCCTGCATGTATGTAAGTGTACCCATGTCATGCAATGCCTAGGAACTGGAGTTACAGATGGTTGCTAGCCACCATGTGGGTGCTGGGAATTGAACCTGGGTCCTCTGTAAGAGCAGTCAGTGCTCTTAACCACTGAGCCATCTCTCCAGCCCAGGTGTGTCCTTTTATAAAGGAATAAATTTTGCCCAGAAGCCCCAGTATGCAATGCTTTATTCCTATAGCCCTAGTTAGGTCACATGCCCATCCATGTCCACCTGCCAGAAAGGCTTCCCTGTTATGGCTCTCTTAGGAATGCAGAGGAGAAGAGAACACAGCTGTTAGACAGCCCTGACATCAGGCATCTCTCACATCAAGGTCTGGTTTCAGCAGTTTGGGGTGAAAGGAGAGGTATTATATAGATGCCCCCCTCCCAGGTGTTCATGTCACTTTTGCATTTTGCATGTGTCTCTGATTGGAATGGCATTTTTTTCTCCCTTTTGGGCTGGTGTGTGTTTGCATAGCACTTGTGTACTTCAGATCTTGCTGCTTGTTTCTCCCAGGCCTGTTGCACTTCTTTTCCCAGAAGGCTGCACAGCAGTCAGCCCTTCCCAGTCGGTGCCTGTTTAGAGGCAAGAATCTAAGCACAAAGGAAGAAGGAAGGACGTTGGGGTCAATTTTTTGTTTCTTCCACCCAGTGGGTTTTATCACCAGCCTCAGTATCTTGTGACTGTGGACACAGGCGCATTTCACTTGCCTCTGCCTCCTTTCCTTCTGAGCTTCCTCTTTGCCAGTGTTGTCTACTGAAGTGTCTGCTCGGGAGCCACTTTCCTGTGTGATCCCCACAGCCTTGGGATTGAGAATTGAGAGATAGAGAAAAACAAAAGGCATCACCCAAAGGTTACTGCTCTGTACAGACATCCACCATTGCCACATGCCGGTCCCATCTTTCCTTCCAGTGAGCATCTCTCAGGCAATATGCCCACTGTTGTCTAACCCACTTTTCCTGTGAGAAGCAAAAGACTGCTTCCATTCACATCATAGTAGTGACAGCAAACCTTGAACACTTGCTGTGTGCTAGGCCCTGTGCCCAGCACTTCACATGCACAGTTAGCATTTTGTTCCCACTACAGCCATGTGCAGTAGGCACAGGCACCTTCCCCATCTCTCAGAGGCAAGGCCCAGAGTGAGGTGATTGCTTATATTGTTCAGTGATTTGGTGGTCTGATCTGACTTTAGAATCTGGGTTCTTCACCTAACACTGAGCTGAGGTGAGTGGGAGCGGAAAGAGCCAGCCCAGGAGTGAGTGACGAGAAAGAACATGGAAGCCCTACCATAGTGATCTTCAGGAAAGAGATGAAGCCAGGCATGGTGGGATATGCCTATCACCCCATCACTCAGAGGCTGAGGCAGGTTGGTGAGTTTCATGCTATCCTGGGCTACATAGCCACACTGTATCTCAGCCCAGCCTAGTGGTGTACACCTTTAATTGGGGTGGGGGGTACAGAAGCATGCAGATTTCTGTGAAATTAAGGCCAGCCTGGTCTACATATTGGTTTCTAGGCCAGATAAGGCTATAGAGAGACCCTGTCTCGAAGGGGGGGGTAACTTATGAGATGGCTCAACAGATGAAGGTGTTTGCCACCAAGCCCAATGACATGAGTTTGTTCCCCAGAATCCACTTGATAGGAGAAGAGAACCAACTCCTGCAAGTTGTCCTTTGACC